CTCCAGGTTGCTTGCGGGGTGAATGATAATAAAATATTTCACTACCTCCACATGGACAGCTGGTTGTGCTTAGCCTTCCAAGCATAGAACAGCCATACCCTTTCAAGTGGTCATCATGATCTGAGGTATCAACTATTAGACACTTTCCCTGCCACTGTCACGTAGAAGCTGTGTTTTTGAGTGGCAAAGATATGTACTGTATCATACTGAAAGTGTGGGAAACACATAGCCAAGAACATGACCTAAGTACTGTGAGGAATCTCATGACTCAGTTGGGAAAAGTGTGTCGATGATCATGCCCCACTATTCCACAAGCCATCGCAAATGTGTAACTAACTCCAAAACAGCCAATTTGCCTAACGGACTGGTACGTGGAACAAAAGCAATTCACACCAGGTTTCCTAAATAACAGGAAAATCATAGAATCCCTACAGTGTGGAAACAGGCCATCTGGCCCATTGAGTTCACACCGCCCCTCCGAAGAGGAGCATCCACACGGACCCAAACCACCCCCCCCCCCCACTTCCTGCAACCCTGCATTACCATGGCTAACCCACTTAACCTGCACACTCCAGGACACTATGGGACAATTTACATTGGCCAATCCACCTAACCTGCACATCTTTGGACTGTGGGAGGGAACCAGAGCACACAAAGGAAACCCACACAAACACGGGGGGAATGTGCAAACTCCACACGGGACAGTCACCTGAGGCTGGAGTCGAACCCAGGTCCCTGGTGCTGTGAGGCCAGAGTGCTAACCACTGAGCCAACGTCATAAATAATTCTCTTTATTGTAAACACAATTATTCTTTAACAAATGGCAAACATGAATTACTAATTTACTACTACGTGACTGAAGTTATACCCCTTTAAAACCCCAAACATACCTGAATTCATTCATAAATAAAACAGACCGAAAACGTTTTTTTTGATACAAATATTTTAACAGAAAAATATAAACAAGGAAAAATAAATTCTGTAGCTTAGTATCCAGACCACAACTGTGGAATGAGTTAATTTTCATAGTTCTTCTGATTTCAGCAATGATGACATATTGTTGCCCTTAGAGTGATGGTCAGTCTTTGATTCAGTAACCTTTCAGAGGAGATCAAGGTCTTTTCTTACATTAAAATTCTTACTTTTTGTCTTGGTTTTTTTGTCGTTTTCATTCAGAGAGAAAAGGGAGATACGTTTCTTGTTTTAGGAATTTAGGAATAGCCCTGAGCATGCAGCCTTACATAACCCTGAAACTTCAACTTCTGAAGCCAATCCAAAAGACTGTTGCTAGGCAGTTTTTCCTTTGCTTAAAAACACTTAGTTCAAAAACAAAAAAAATCTGTTCATCTCAGCTTTGAATGTAGTCAACAACGATGCTTTTCCAGCCCTATGTGATAAAGAATTCCATGGATTCACTACCCTCTGAGAGATGAAATTCCTCCTTATCTCCCTTAACTCTAAGATTTTACCCTGGGGTCCAAGACTCTCCGATACCTACCCTGTCAAGTCCCTTAATAACCTTGTATGTTACAATAAGGTCTCGTCTCATTCTTTTAAATCCCAATGAGTGCAGGCTCAACCCACTCAACTGCTTCTCATAAGACAGACCCTCCATACCCACGATCAACCTCGTGAACCTTCTTTGGAATGCCAGCATATTACAGTATATATTTTAAGGGGTAAACTTTTAGCTTTTACAGACAAAGAACTACCAGCAGCTGCTCATTCATATATTGTAAAATGATTGGGCAGGATCTATATCAGGTAGCTAATCTGGTTTTTTATCTGCCAATGAAAGTCAAATCTACACATCCATGTCAGTTTGATTCATATATTAAAAATCAATGGGCATAATACATTTCCTCCCCTCCATTCTCCATTCTCCATTCTCCACCCCAGCAACTTTCATATTCAATGAATTATCCTCCACCATTTATGCCATCTTCTGCCTGATGCCACCACCAAACACATTATTCCCTGTTCTTGCCTTTCAGCATTCTGCAGGGACTTCTTTGTCTGTTATACCATGGTCCACTCTTCACTCAGCCTCAATAACCCCTCCCCATGCCACAGCACTTTTCCATGGATGCAGGAGATGCAAATACTTCTCTTTCACCTCCTCCCTTTTTTCTGTCCAAGGCCCCAAGCACTCATACCAGCTGAAACAGAAACTTACTTATATACTTCTTTCAGTTCAGTACACTATAAACTCACTGTTCATTATGTCATCCCCTGTACAATGGGGAGACCAAACACAGACAGGATGACCTTGAACTTCAAGTGACCATCCTTTTAATTCTTCACCTTACTCCTACCTTCCTGTCCCTGACACCTACAATGAGGCTCAAAACAACTTCAAAGAGCAAGACATGTTTGAACTCAACACTGAGTTTAACATCTATGGAATATAACCTCCGCCTCATTTTGTTTTCTTATTCTTGATTTGTTTGTTTTTTCTTCCTGTCTCAGTCGTTTTTATCTTTCGTGCGACAACTATCCGTGATCATGCCATTCACACCTCCTCTAGACACACCTTTTGTTTCTTAACTTGATCCAACACCACTCACTTTGACCTAACACTATGAACCTTTTCTGTCAGTTTATCTCTCTTGGTGCCCTTTACCTCGTCACAGACCTGTCCGATTGTTCTCTTTCATTTGCTCAAAATCAAATGCGTTTGTCACTTTTCCCAGTTCTGATGAAAGGTCATAGATTTGAAACTTTAACTCTGTCTTTCTCCACAGGTGCTGCCACACTTGCTGAATATTTCCAGTTTGCTCTGCTTTTATTTCAGGCTTCCAAGATCCACAGTATTTTCCTTTTGAGCCCAAGCTCTGGAATTCTGCTTCAAACATCTCCACAATCTCCACTTCTCTCTCTTTCTTACTTCTTAAAATCTACCTCTTCAATCTATTCTGTCATATATTTATGTAACTCTGTGTAAAACTTTGTTGATGGTCCTAACAAGCATTTTGGAATGTTTTGCATTGTTATTGACCCCAAATAAATCAAGTTGTTGTTTCTGCACATCTGGAAGCTGTTGAAAGATGCAAGTATTACAAGACATTTATTACTGATTCACCAGGAATTTATTCCGGTTTGTTTTGTTGCTACGACGTTGCTGGAAGTGTAGTGAAAACCCCAAAAACATGTGTCATTCACAATAGGGTAGCAGTTCTTGAGTGATTTCTGGAAGCGTTATTCATATTTTTAGTTCAGCTTGTCACACTGCAGGAATAAAAGAGTGAGAAAAGCATTTCTTCATTCACTAATTACTTTTTAATTTCCAACAGAACAGTAGAGATGACAAAACAGCTCTGTACGTCCCATATTTGGAGACTTGAGAATTGAAATCCTGGAGTCCATTGAAATCTTACTTCTCTCCTTGAATGAATTCTTACCAATTCTCCATCAGGTCACTAATTGATTCACTGCTTCATCTTTGTAGAGTGGGAGGATAAGAAGCAGCAGCAGGTCTACCATCGACCCACAGAAGCATACACCCGAACCTGAGCACAGCCATTGTATTAATTATTAATATACAATGTATAGATTAGTGTCAAAAGCAGATTGGAGATTGCGCCTTTTAATCTTCCAAGTGTCTCATTTTGTAACTCTAGATACATGGCCATGTATGCGTACAAACCACAGAAAGCAGATGAGCTGGAGCTGCGAAAAGGAGAGATGTATCGAGTCATTGAGAAATGTCAGGATGGATGGTTCAAAGGCACTTCACTGAGAACTGGAATGTCTGGTGTCTTTCCTGGAAACTACGTGACTCCTGTCTCCAGGTGGGTGCACGAGAAGATCACACAACATTAGGGACAGCACAGACATTCATGGCCCTAGTTATGTTGTCTAAAGGAGACTGTGATGATATCAGGACTAAACATAGGGAAAATGCTTTCCTTCTTTATCTATAAAGTACAACTTTTGTTATATTGTATGCGTAATAATATTTTATTATTTTAAATTAAGTATCACACCATAAAGTATAAAGTTGTCAAGTAAATTCAACAGTTCAATACCACGTGCTACCTTTTCTTTTAGGGCTCCCTTTGGAACAGCTCAGTCCAAAACCACAATGCCAGGAGCTGCTGTCCAAACAGTAAAAGGAAACTCCCCATCAAGCCATTCTGCGACCAGTCTTGTGAATAATGGTGTAAGGCCTATTCCTCCTGTTGCTATCTCTCCTGTTCCACCGCAGCTTCACACATCCAGTCCGCAGATCAGCAATTGCTTACGTTACTCAGGACAGCAAACGGTCAACCAGGCCCGGAGTGCAATGCAGATGGGTAAGTAATGCACAGTGTTGAAGCTCCCTTCCAAATCTGATGCATGTTGCTCTAGTAATAATCAACTTCATCCATTCCCCAGTAGAGAACAAAAACAGCTCATCTGACCCCAATTGCTGGTTCTTCCCTGTTTTGTCTAATTCTATCGGAATACTCCTTTCTCCCACACGTGCTTCCCTAACTTTCCCTTAAATATAATAAAAGCAAAATACTGTGGATGCTGGAAATCTGAAATAAAAGTAGAAACTGCTGGAGAAACTCAGCAGATCTGACACCTTCTGTAGAGAGAGAAAAACAGAAAATTCAAAAAACAATGTTTCGAATCGAGCATGCCTGTTCTTCCAAAGAAGTGTTGGAGTCATACCGTACTTGCAACATTAAGCCTGTTTCCCTCTACAAGACACTACCAGACCTGCTGATTTTCTCCAGCATTCTCTGTTTTTCAGTATTTTATGTATTACATATTAAATGTATCCACCCTATTTGTATCAACTACTTCACCTGAATAGTGGGTTCCATATTTTAGACATTCTCTGGATAAAGGAGTTTGTCCTCATCATTAAATGGGTCTATTTCTACCTATACCACAGTATAAACACCCCAGTAGGTGATACTTGAAATAGCATTCCCTTGGGGTGACTCAAGCAACTGTGGAAATATGTGGACAATATCAGGGACTATCCATATGAGGTCTTGTATCCCACAGCTCTTGGCCTCAACACATGGTTTGAAATTCAATTTTACACTTCAAATGTGAGTTTAAAATTTTGAATGACATTCAGTGTGAAATCAGAATGCCACAAATTTCTAACCTTCATTTTTAAAAGCAAGATTTAATGGAAGAGATCAGTCTCTGGTTTTGAGAGGAGGGGCAGGGACCAATGAAGGAGCAGTGTGGGTACTCCTGCATCACTGCATGCCAATTTTGTGAGGAAAGATTTGGCAAACATTTTTTCATTGAAGAGAACCTTGTGTTTTTTATTTCAAAATTAGTGATGAGATACACCTCATAGCACATCCATGTTACATTTATGGCACAAGTATTTTCTTTTTCCAGAAGCTGTCTGACTGGTTGTACACTTCTGACAAATCCTGGTGTAATTACATAAAATTTGGGATTTTTACCAAAATTTTGGAGATTGAATTTTGTGTTTCCATCCACTTATAATAATGGTTTCCGATTGCTATTGACAGATTAAATCATTTTCTATTACACATGAACTCTATCTTCAAGACAGGTCAAAGTTGTGAAGTGAAGCAGCATTTGATATAATGGTGCCCTACATCAAATTCAAAATTCAGGTCTTATTTTGTGTCTTGCCAAAAGAAAATAATTGAGATTTTCTTTCTTCTGTCATAATTACATTTTTTGAAAAGTTGTATTTACTTTTCCTTGGGAAAGGGGTGCAATTCTAGAAGTAAAGAAGGAAAATGATATCTATAGTATCAGGTGATTACTAATCAGCTTTTATAGTGTTATGTTACATTGTTTGTAGTTTTGTTTTGAGAATGTGGATAGGCAAGAATGATGAGCATTGCCATCTACCTGGACCTTTGGAACAGCTCCCAGCTCCCCACTATGGCACAGCACTGGGGAGCTGTAGATGAAAATTGAGAAGGAGATGAATGTAGGAAACTAGTTTTTGCTTGCTTGTGGGAGCAACAGTCATTTACTTGCCTTTTGATTGTTTCTTTTATTCTTTAAATCTGAATTATGAATGCTGTTGATGCGATGCCCTTGTCATCTGCTACTAATGACTCTCACCGTCATGAAAAGCATGACCCAAGTGTAACATTTGAGATTCCCTTGTTAACACCCCTGTTGTTCAGCGGTAGCTGAAAATCCACATTGCATTGTATTTTATGATTCTTTTTTAGGCTTGGTTGGTTTTACAAAACCCAAAACTTATAACTAGAGAATTTTGAAGGTCTTTGGTGTAAGATGATTGTTTTCTTTCATTGTCCAAATGTGAAAGGGTTTAAGGAGGATGCTACAATTTAAGCATTTAGGTTGGTATCACAAAGGCATCATTAGGGATCCTCACTTTGAATCAAATTCATTGTGTGGAAATTCATAGTGGGAGGTTGCATTGTGTTGTGTCTCCCATTTTGCTTTCTATGTTTTGACAAGCTGTTTGCTTTTAAAATGGTGATCAGTGGTAGGATTAACAAGGCTATCACTTTTATTCGAGAATAACTTGAGGAAGCTGCATCCTCTATTATCTATCCTAGGGGCTCCAAGACTCAGTAGTCTAAGCCTTTTGCTATCTCTCACATTTACTTTTGCAGTTCATCCTGCTGTTCAAGCACTTGAACGTCCTACAGCCACTGTACCACCGTTAAGAACACAAAGTCCTCCCACCCGTATCCCGGCTACTGTAGTCCGACCACAGCCAATGGCCTCACCACAGCATGTCCTTCAATCGTCCGGAGCTCCTGGTGCTAGATCGACCATTTCACTCACTTCTGCAGCTGTAGCCATTACACCACCAAATGTCAATGCAGCCAACTTGAATGGGGATGCAATGAGTGGATCAGCAAGTACCTCAGTGACTTCCAGCCCATCAAACTCCGTACCTGCCGTACCCAAAATGGAGGACCGGAAAACTGAGAGGGTGAGAATTGCCAGTAGGTTGTTCACTGTGTGGGATTTATTTTAATCTAGTCTTCTTTCGTTCTATCTCATATTTTTCATGTGATAAAGAATGGCCAACAAATTGTACTGAATCTTTTCACAGTCAGATGTGATTGCCTAACTCACTGATTGATAACAAAGTCACTCAGCACATGTTCAGCCTGTTTACTGGATGTATTTTCATTTCTTTATTGATCATGCTATTTCTAATGTCTAATAACTATGTTTTTTTTTGTTTTACTGCTAATCTGCAGCTAATGAATTCTATTTGAATAACATTCTAGAAAGGACATGTAGTCCCCAGCCACCTCTCTACAAAGCCATTCTTACCTGTTCAATAAATGACAGACAACCGTTTAGTTGACAGGCCTGATCTTACTGAACTGTCCTAGTATCCACGTTACCAGTGAAGACTATTGGATTGTTATCAGGAGAAAGTATCCAGATTGTTTCTGTCCTTTGCTATTTTAAAGCTACTGAGCCAATTGGAAATTTCTCATTGCCGCTTTGTTTGTTATTTAATGTCACACAAACTATAAGTTGAATATTAATTTATCCCATTCTGTACAACAAAGTATGAATACTTCTGTTAATTCATTAAGGATCTCTGAAAAGAGCTACTTTACTGATTGTTTTAGAGGGTTTTAGACTTCGGAAAACCTTTTGGTTCCACCTTGGGAAATTCGTAGTCACTCCATTGTCATGATAGAAATATAATATCTCCTCACTGAAGGCACAAGTGTGATATATTCATGTATTATAAACAGACAAGTGGTGTACTTTATAATTTACATTGTCTGTTGTGATAATTTGGTGCTTTTTGGTCAGTTTACATTTGGTTCTATATTGTATGAATCTGACTCTCTGACATTAAATAAAAAATGAAAAAACTGCTGATGCTGTACATTAGAAACAAAAATAAAAGTTTCTGGAAAAGCTCAGCAGGTCTGACAGCATCAGTGAAGAGAAATCAGAGTTAACGCTTCGGGTCCAGTGCCCCTTCCTCATCGTTCCATAAAACTGCTGAGCTTTTTCAGCAACTTTTGTTTTTGTCTCTTCTGACATCCTTTATTTACTCCAAATCGTTCAACCTTTTCAGTACTTATAAGTTCTTGTACATTCTTCTGCATGCACCAGAATTAAAGGTTACTGTTTAGTTATTTTTGAACGATTTTATATATCTTCTGTTTACCCACAGTGTGAACACAATACCCACTGGAAAATAATTGGGTTCAAGTTTACCTCAGCCATAAGTAAGATCACAAATTCATGATAAAAACCAAAAGAACTGCGGATGCTGTAAATCAGGAACAAAAACAAAGTTGCTAGAAAAGCTCAGAGATAGTAGGAACTGCAGATGCTGGAGAATCTGAGATAACAAAGTGTAGAGCTGGATTAACACAGCAGGCCAAGCAGCATCAGAGGAGCAGGAAGGCTGACGTTTTGGGCCTAAACCCTTGGGTCTGGCATCATCTGTGGAGGAGAAAACAGGGTTAACGTTTCGGGTCTGGTGACCCTTCCTCAGAACAAATTCATGATGTTGTTGTTGATCCTAGGGCAATAGAAGGGGACCCACTACCTTCAACACAATTCATTGCCTTTCCATTTTATAACCAAAATGGCAGTGTTCTACATGTAAGGCTCAACTATATTCCTGATTCTGAATCCAATTGCTGCTTGTACCCTTGATGTTCTGACTGCACTGACAGGTTGACGAGAACACTTTTAACCCTTTTTAACCAGATGGTATGCTCTGAAAGGGCTACAAGTTAGAATGGTACCAGGCTACAGTAGGTCTCAGTCTTAGTTCAGCAGGCCTTTTGCAAGTTACATTTCAAGCCTTTCCAGCAACACCCCCACCAAGTAGTCTCAGTGGTTGATTTGGCAATAAATGCAGGCATTTCAGCCCTTTTGCGGTAGAGGTGGGATTCACCTGGGGATCCAGGCTTGAGTTACATAGTTTTGGGAAAACCAGTTGTGTTTTACATAAAACAAATCAGAATTGTTAAGAAATAATTTGTTTGAGTTAAGTCCCAGGCAGTGCAGTTTCCAATTTGAATAGGTTATGTTTTACAGTTTTTCTAATATACACAATTTATGTCAATGAAGTGTTATAATGTCTAAATAAAAACCAAAAGAACTGTGAATGGTGTAAATCAGGAACAAAAACAGAAGTAGCTGGAAAAGCTCAGCAGGTCTGGCAGCATCTGTGAAGAAAAAATCAGAGTTAACCTTTCGGGTCCGGTGACCCTTCCTCAGAAGTGATGGTATCTGGGAAAGCATTGGTTTATAAGCAGAAAATAGGGAGGGGAATGGAGTACGGAGTACAGAGTAAACGATAGGATAGAGCCCGAAGAGAGAAAAGACCAGTTAGATAGACAAAGGAGTTGATAACAATCTGGCTAGGAGGATGAATAGCTGTTAATGGGGACTGTTAGTTCTGATGAAGGGTCACCAGACCTAAAACGTTAACTCTTATAATATCCATTCTGGTTAATTATTTCGTAGTTCACATCCACGAATGGATAGATTTCAGCAACTCACTCAACTGCACCACCTACTGGTGAGGGAACAGGAAACTCGTACCAGCTTGTTCTCATGGGACTTGAAACATTTAACTCTGCTTTCTCTTCACAGGCATTGTCAGATCTGCTGAGTTTCTCCAGGTTTTCATTTGTTTCTATACCAGCTGTTTCATTGTTCCATAAAGCATAAAAGGAAACCAATTGGCCCACCATGGCTGTGTTGGCTTTATGAAAGAGTTATCCAGTTTAGTGTCACAACCAGCTTTTTCTCCCCACAATACTGTAAATTGGTCCTCTTCAAGTGCGTGTCCAGTTCTGTTTAAAAGTTTCTAAGGAATCTGTTTCTACTTCCCTTTCAGTTGTATGTTCAAGATTCTACAAACCCACTGTAAAGAAAGTTTTTCCTGGTTCCTCTTCTAGTTCTTTTCCCAATTTTCCCAATTTTCCCAATCCTTTAAAATCTATGTTAGATTATCATAACACTTGCCAGCAGAAAATTCAATTCCTTCACTCAATCTGAGATTCACTGGAAATGCCAACTAATTTGTTGCCCAATCTAATTGCCCAAAAGTTGGTGGTGTCATAATTTTGAAGACCACCATCAGATATTCTCCTTTTAATCTTCCCCAATTTCTCTGCATGACTGAAGTCCCTGTTTCCTGGTGCCAGGCTGATTAACCTTCTCCATACTGTCACCAAGGCCTTGAGTTCTTTACTAAAGTTTGGTCTTCAGAATTGTACACAATACTGCAGCTGAAACCAAACCAGAGATTTTAAAGGTTTGGTGACATCTTATTTGCTACATAATGTCCCTATTTACAAAGAGAAGATTCTCATTCACTTTCTTAATTACCTGATCCACTCTCCCTGCCACCTTTGAAGATTTATAAATATGCAGTCTGTTGTATAATGCTTTCAAAATAGTACCATTTAGAGGAGACTGCTTTTCCATTTAATTCTCCCAATATCTGTCACTTGGGGGAGGTGATGGCCAAGTGGCATTATCACTATCCAAAGATCCAGGTAATGTTCTGGGGACCCACGTTCAAATTCTGCCATGGTAGGTGGTGGTCTATAAATTCAATAGAGGAAACAAAATCTGGAATTAAGAGTTTAATGGTGACCACAAATCCATTGTTGATTGTCAGGAAAAACGCATCTGGTTAACTAACGTCCTTTAGGGAAGGAAACTGGCCTACATGTGACTCCAGACTCCCCAGCAATGTGGTTGACACTTACCTGCCCTCTGGGCAATTATAGATGGGTGATAAATGCTGGTCTAGCCACTGATGCCCACATTTAATGAATTTTTTTTAAAAATCTTTATTAATCTGAATTAAATTGCATCTACTATGTATCTGTCTGTTTCATCAGTTTGTTTCGGTCCTTCTGAAATCTGCTTCTATTATCTTCACTATTCATACAGTTACCAACTTTTGTATCATCTGTAAGCTTCCAAGCTGTACTTCCTAAACCCAAAATTTAATTAATTTATACATGGTGTGTCATAGAACCGTGACCAAAATCCATATACAGTAATACAGAATTGAATAGAAAATACGTAAGATTATTTAATAATAAATAATTAGACATTAGTTCTTTTTCTTGCCGCCAACTAGATCAGAAGTGGAATTTCAGGAAATCCAATGTTATGATTTTGAGGACATGAATTAAATTTCCCAGTTCTATACCCTTTGCATGATTCACTGCTGCTGTCTTAACAGCTCACTCAGCAACCCTCCCACCCTCTTTAAGAGATAAAGAAAAGCAAAAGACCAGCAAATCATAAATCAATTCAGACTACTGGCTGCGTTCCAAAACTTGGAATTATTGGTGCAAAGTAAAGGGCTTATTGAAATTTGTGCTAGTCTCATGACAGTTTGTGTGCTCATAGTTCTTAATGTGTTTGCACATGTGTAAGCTGTTGTTGGTTTTATTATTCAATTCTTTCAACTGTCCTCTAGTTAATATCTAGGGAAAATACCAGCTGTCGAATAAATAAGATCACCTCTATAAATATGACCCTTTGTTTAAAAAAAAAAGACAGTTTTATGCTTAACAACTGAAAGTAACAGTTTTGTGCTAGAGGATCTCAGTTATAAGACTAAAGGAAAAACAGGTACGAACCAGAATTTTTGATCTGATTTGGTTTGCTAAAAGCATGAGCTAGTAAAAGCCATTCAAGATGATTTAAAAAGTGAGGAAGATGGAAATAAAAAGAAAATGTGGAAATGTTGGAAATCAGGATTAATAACAAAGACAAGATGAACACAGTTTAGAATGGCTCCATTCTGTCTTTTCTGCCCACAATGATGATCCTACTTCTCTGCCTTACCATTTCAATACACTGTCCTATTCATCTTCTGATGCCCTTGCCTCTGATATTTTACACTGCTTCATCTGGAATCACTCAGAAGCAGTGCTTCAACTCCTCTTTAGGATTATGTCCCCTGAG